GTCCCCTCCTAAGGTGACAGGAGTTTGGCTCTGACAACGGGGTTTCCCACCACCCACCCCTTTTCTTACACTGGAGGGTTTTAAGTAGCAGGCTAATCTTATCTCAGAGCCAGGAGGGGGCTGTGGGCCAGGTAACATGGTCACCCCCTATCTGACCCTTATCTGTGCACTAGCACTTATTGCCTCTCTCCACCATGTATCATGGTAGGTAGTATGCAACTGACGAGAAAGTAAATGAATTTTTTGTTGCATCTCACCTTTTTCTGTAATACCAAATAAACAAATAAGGGTCTATCGAACAAGGGGAAGAACAGAATATGGTAAATAGCATGGCAAATAAAAAATGAGTAATCTGAGCTTAGATTACTGACACTGTAGGACGGCCCAAGAGAGAGACTTTCCATCTGTTATGTGACTGAGAAAACGACAGTCCAGACACAAGTTAGGGCTCTTTTTTCACACGGCAGGGCTCCAGACTAACTTTTTACATTTGGTTGCATTAGTTTTCACTGCCTTTTGATGCTGAAGAATATGTTGTGTTGCCATTATGACAGTTCCCATACACATAGGTAATTTCTTAATGTATTATGTAAATGATTGTTAACAGAAATAAAGGTACACACATATATTTTGTACATCTAATACATTCTCTTTCTGCTATGCATGTATGACATATGTGAGAGTTCATGCTGCTATTGACATACTGTATAGTTCTAAGAAAAGTAGTCTTTAATATTATCGTTTTATACCCAAACCAATGTATGGACATAGCAACAACCGCTCCTCAGAGAAGGGGAGAGGAAGGCACATTGTCTCAGCTGTTCTCTCGTTTCCATTTTGCATCTTTCTTCCTCTCTTTAAAAAAAGAAATCAATGAATCATGTTAATTCATTCAAAGCATGTGGCTAATTGAAGTTTTGCTTGTCTCACCCATTTAGAAAAGCATTTCAATGAGGAGAGGAAGGATGTGAAGGAGCACTTAACAGCGGGGGATGTGTTTTCAACCCAATATAGACTCTATTGTCATGCATTGATATTAGTGTTTCTGCCCTCACCTCACTATTTTCTGAAATGTAAATGTTTTTTCATCATAACGACACTCTAAATTCAGGGATTTTAAAAAAAATGATGACTGTAACTTGTCCTTTTTTAGTAGACTTGTGAGATGGATTTGCTATAAACATTGGTGTTGTTACTGTGAATAGGGAACACTTTGCAACCCAGATGAAGCAACGTAAACTGTAGTATAGGAACCCTGTGTCCCTATACATTTAGATATGCAGTTTGTATTTTTGTGAGCATGGTATAGTGTATAGTACTGTTAGCTTGATTTCAAAAGGGTAATGTTTCGGCAAAGCTTTGGTATGCCTTCCACATTTACCTCACATACACAAATCTGTCTTTGTAACTGCCCTGTTTTGTTCTCACTTATTCTTTTCTTCTCTCTTTTCATATACTTGTCATGCTGTTTCCCAATCCAGGCTATCATTGAATCAGAGGATACACTTTTTTTTTTCAAATTGTTGCAGCTTCCTTTTCTTCCTCTCTCTGTGTTCCTTCTCTTACTCCCTGTCAGTCAGTCAGATGCTGTTGTCAGAGGATCCACTGCTGGGTCTTGTGACAGGCAGGCAGGGCCAGCGAGAAGCCAGCAGCTATAAATAAAAAGCTTGCTGCTGCTGTTGTTGCTGTTGGAGAGAGATGGCAGACAAAACTGTGGCTACGCGCTTCTGTTCCAAAATCATTCAGTTTTTTACAAACTTCTTCAAGACTAGCTTAATGTCTACTGGTATGAGTTTATCACTTGGGACAATTGAAACAAATTCATATTAGAACTTCCAATTTTTCTCTTTATGAGGGTTGGATGGTTTAAGATAGATGTGGTTTTTCAATTGTATTTCTTCAGTTTTAAATCTAACAAAATTGTACTTTTAGGCAGGTAGGTACATTTGAGGAATAAAGGGAAGTGTTGTGTAATGGTTTCACAACCTTATCCTGTGTAGACTACACTGAGATTTTGTAAAGCAAAAGGACTTTTTTGCATCTTTATTGGCTTAAATTTTTCCCCTGGTCACTTTGCAGTTTACTGCAGGATGTTAATCTTTGCTCTTTTGTATTTTGCCATCACAGTAAAGCAAAAGTTTTATTCACCATTGCCTACTGTAAAAGCTGTCAGAAATTCTGATGTTAAATGATGCTTGCATTGTGTCACTTGCCACGCTAGTTTCTATTTACAGTGGGTGATGCTGTATGTTTATGTTTTTTGTAACACATATGGCGTCTATAATATATGGTGCTGTGCAAAAGTAAACATAGTACTGAAGTGGTATCCTCCATTCAGAGGACAAGCACAATGCATACACCTTGTAGCAAGTGAAATCCGCATGTGAAGGCAATTGGGATGTTTTTAAGTCATGTTAGGTTTAATATGAAGTTGTGAAAATTCTTACTCCCTACGTTTCTAATGTGACAGTATTAATGTGTCACGTGTGAAGCACTGAGAAGAGATTTGGGGAGGAGGTGGGGGGAGTATTCCCAATGGGAGCAGCAGAGCATATCCAGTGTAAGTTTATCAATAAACTCTGACCGAATAGTGCCAATGGACACAATGGACTCTTGTCAATTTGTTTGTGTGTGGGTGTGTTTGTGTGTGTACATGCTGCCTGTGCCGGATGACCTTTGGTATAAATAGCCTGCCGGCGCTAGCTGTGATGACAGCCGACAGCACGCACCGTTGTGTGAATTTGTTTCCTGAGTAGTGCTGTTCATCGGTTATCCCTCTTGGAACAATGCCTGTATGACTCCCTGCTACCCAGCAACACTCTGGCCTCTAATTTCCTGAAACTGGGCTCAAGCACAGACTCATGGCATAACCGCACAAATAATTTTATGTAATTTTGGCAACCAGGGACTCAAGTGCAACCCTGGTGTAGTGCTGTGTTGTGTGAAAACATGACTGGAGGAAGATGGATACACTATTAGTAGGAGGAATGTATTATGAGAAGGTGAACCAATTACGTCTCCTCCTTTTATTTCCTTTACATGGTACAGACAGTTTAATGGGGGTGCAAAGTGCCTAGGCGCCAGTTGTTAAATGTAACTACGTATATTTACTCAAGCAGTCTACTTGCGTACAAATTCAGTGTACTTCACCAAAGTATTTCCATTTTATGCAGCTTTATACTTCTACTCCACCATATTACAAAGACATATATTAAATTTTTCTCCACTACATTTGTCACCACATCTCCAACTGTGGTAATTTGAAATGTTTGTGAAATATGAAGGATTAAATTTGTCTTTATGTGTTGAGAAAACACATTACTTTTTAATCTAAACAAAATATTTATTAATCCTCTTGAATTACCTGGAAAATGCATTGTCACAAAGTTAAAGACAGGGCTGTTTTTTCTAAACTCATGAAAAGATGACTTTTTAGAGGTATGTGGTTATCTCCAATGTTGTCTTTCTTAGCTGTGACCGTAATGGGGATAATAACAATATTTTCTGTTGTTTTTTTTTTTACTCATCTGCCTAAACACAACATCAGATGTTCAACTCCGCTATCAAAGCTGATTCTATGAATGCAGCTTGAGGCACTTTGATGTAACTGAGGTATAGCTCTCACTATTTTGATCTTTGCTCTAACCACACAGGCTTTGAAATAAAATGATTAGAGTTGATCTAGATTTTGTAGTAAGAGCATTTTCCTGACTAACTCAGTAACTCAATGAAGTCAAACTAAGGAACACTACAGGGAAAAAAACAGTAGTAACAGAAACCCGATTGCTGTATCCTAATCTTCCCTTCCTTTTCTTCTCCTAGATCTGGAGCCTGATGACAGCACATCGTTCTATATCCTAAATGTAGGCCAGCCCCAGTCTATGGTCTCTAACCACCAGTCTATTGGCCTGCCACGTCATGGCATGCAGTCTCACTCCCAGGTCATCAACACTTCACCACGCCTTCACTCACATAAACCAGGACCTGAACCCCCGAGCTATGAGGCACAAGACTCCAAATATGGCACCTCCCCCCTGTTGCCCTCTGCTCCTGTGGAGGCACCAAAGGCCTTTGAGTGCCCCAGTATCCAGATCACTTCCATCTCCCCCAGCTGCCAGCAGGAGATGGATGCCAACGAGGAGGATCTGAGGGCCAATGGCCCTGATGGGGATTACCACGGTGACAGGCCTTTGTCCAGAGACCACCTGTATTTGCCGCTGGACCACTCATACCGGGACTCTTCTCTTAGCCCCAGCCCATGCAGCAGCCTCTCCTCTAGGAGCTGGTTTTCTGATGCCTCCTCTTGTGAATCATTCTCACATGTCTATGATGATGTTGACTCAGAGCTGAATGAAGCAGCTGCCCGGTTTACTCTGGGCTCCCCTCTTACTTCCCCAGGTTGTGCCTCCCCTCAGACTGGGCCTGGAGTTCTGGAGGAGCAGCCCCACTGGCAGCACCACCACCCTGCCTTTGTGCACCACTCCCACTCAGTGAGCCTGTCTCCCCGACAGTCCCCTTGCCACTCGCCACGCACCAGTGTCACTGATGAAAATTGGCTTAGCCCGCGTCCACCTTCCAGGCCTTCCTCACGTCCAACCTCACCCTGTGGGAAGAGGCGCCACTCTAGCGCTGACATCTGCTATCCCAGCTCATTGTCTCCTCATCACTCACCCACACCCACGCCAGGACCTTCACCTAGGGGCAGCGTGACAGAAGACACTTGGGTTGGCAGTCCTTCTGTTGGCATGTCACCCTTTCAGTGCTGCCCATCTGAGGCAGACATCCCCTCCAAGACAAGGAAGACCTCACAAGACAGAACAGCTATGCAGACTGGGAAAGGGGAACTGGTGCTAGATGACCAAGGAAATATGTCTCCTAATCTAGACTCACCTTCAGATGAGGCCTTGCACAGCCTGAAGAAGGATGGGCCTGCAGAACAGTTCCTCTCAGTACCTTCCCACTTCTCATGGAATAAACCCAAGCCTGGTCATACACCTATATTCAGGTAAATTTGCTGAAGGATTGTCTAATAACAAGCTAAATTTAACTCCATCTCACAGATGCACTCATCTAATCCAGCTTAAGCAAATGAGTCATGCGGATGTAGAAGACAAAGTGGGAAAAAGCTGTCTTCAAATATATATATATATTTTTCACATGACAGTGAGGGACAATATCTCAACTAGTTCAAAATAATTTTCAACTAGGCAACTGTCATCTCTGTAATAATAAAGGACTAGAATCATGAAGAATGACATCCTAAATTCTTAAAGTGTGTTCACCTAAGAGTCAAAAGCAGAAGACAATGTTTCATTAGTCTTTTTGTAAATTAAAACTGCAACCACCACTTTGCACGACAGCACGCTATCAGTATTCAAAACAATTAACAGGTCAGGGCTGAACAATAGACCTCAGTGGTGAATGTTTTAAAAAGAGCTTTGAGCTGTCATAAAATCTGAACACCCTTTTTGATCTAGGAGAGAAGTGTAAACATTGCAGTGCAATAAATTAGTATCATATAGCTATGTTAGATGGCTATTTAGCCCGTTGATGGAACCCTGCAGATCAGTGTTCAGTAATGGGTGAACTTTGAGCTTTGTATCAGCAGCATAAATCTGATTTAGTTACACTGTGGAGTAATACAAGTTTATTGGAGGGATTGGGGAAACACATGGACACACACATGCTAATTTCCTATGAACACACACACACACACACACACACACACTGAAGGAGGAGTCTGCTGTGTGTTCTTCAATGTGTGCAGCAGATGAAGACATGGCCTTGTTTGTGTGCACTGGCCCCTAGCACTGTAAATCAGTACAGGGCACATATGGCAAGGGGGCCACCACACACACGCACACACACATGCATAGACATAACACAAATGCTTTCTCACACAGACCTAACACTGTCCAGACAATAACAGGGTCAGCTCTATGATGAGTCGCAATTTGATCTTTTTATCCTCGTGTGAATTTTCCTGTTAGGGCTATAGTTAAGACAGTAACAGAAATATGTCTTTTTGCTGAAGACTGAATATTTTTCTTTTCATGCCCTACTTACTTACACTAGCAGGTGCATGCATTGACAAAAAATATGATTTTTAGCTAAATTTAATTTTCAAACAGGACTTCTATAACTGTTGAGAGTCAGTTTGTATAAACCCCTGTTTGCCATGAGATAGAGTGTTGTTGATTTGCCTATGTGCATGCATATGTGTGTTAGTGGTGTTTTGAACAGATGGCCGAGGTGGAATGGGTGGGATTGGGTGGAATGAAAAACTGGTGGGGTGTTCAGACACTTGCTTTGACCAAGAATTGGATCTTGCCTCACTCCTTGAGCTGTCTACAAGACATGTTAATTAATTCTTGCAAGTTAGGTGCCAAAAGCTTTATTTAAACAAAAAGCCAGTTTTACTTTGTGGGAAATGTAATGTGTACATTTCCAGTCAGGAAACAGAATGTAGGCTAGAATTTTTTTGCAAAAAAAAAAAATAAAATGTGAGTAACAAAGACAAAAAAAAAATAAAATAAAATAGTGCACCAGTGTGCTTACTCATCTACAGCAACAGGACAGTTATTACAAACGGGCTTTTTTATGGCAAGAAAAAATGTTGTCAAGGTGTCAATGTTTTTTGATGAGGCCTCAATTCCTGCAACTTGTGTAGATGCAAGATTACCCTAATTAATTGTTTGGAAATGATGCCAGGACCATGAACAATCTAGAGAAGACTATGTCATGGGAGTGAACTGAAGCACCTACACTATGGCTTAGACATTTGAGAAAGGTTATGCTATGTCAGGACATAGTCCAGTGCTCCAGCTCCGTCACAAGCTCGAGTTTCTTCTGTACTCTTCTGCTCCTGTTACCGTAGCAGCCATGCAAACCCACACTTCCTTGATGCTTATGTCATAGCTGCTGGGAAGAAAACATAAGGGTTAGGATGCCTTTATTATGCTCTGTTAGAATGATGATCTTGTTCTTGATAGTGTCACCTCCTGTTTGTGAAGTTGTAATTTGAAAATAATTCTTAAAAGTATTGTAATTGATAAACTGACTATTATGGTATTGACAGATTACTATAGATAATGCATTTATTATGATATCATACCATACAAATAACAATATAGTCAGGCAGAAGAAGAAAAACAAACTCCAAAAAGCAAAGCCACACCTTGACAGGGTATTTTTTTAGCAGCTATTTGCAGCATATGTGCTTGTATTAACATTATTTGCACGATCTAGCTCATTTCGTCTTTATGTATTTATGTCTCTTTAAACTTTGAAGTCGTTGGAAAATTTGTAGTCAGTAGTTCAGTTACATGTAAAACTACACGACTCCGTTTGGCTGCACAAAACCTTTACAAAATATCTGACACTTGCCTTTTCATTCCAAAATGCAGTCTTCCTTGTGGGTTTGGTGCCAGTCTGTAAGGCAGTTTATGAAGTGAAATGGCTCCACTGAAAGCCTGACTCACATGTCTTCAATCCAGTCTGATCAGCCTGGTCTGCATGTAGCCAGCACTTGACAGGCATTTGGAAGAGGAAGAACTAAGGGAATCAGCCATGCTGGCTAAAACGTTACAAACTTTCCCCTAAAAATTATTTTGTACTGTCAAAGATCTGTCATGCAGTTTAGTTTGCATGCTAGGAGTCTGTACTGTCTTGGGTAGAGCCAAAAAAAAAAAGTATATGCCACCATGTGACAGGGAGCACAAAGAGCCTACAGTGGTCACTGCTGAGGAAGAGATCAAGTATACGACCGCCCATACTTTTAGCTGCCCACACTGTAGAGTCGGTTCACTGACTCAGGTCTCACATACACAGCCATAGGCTTTCAGACACACATGCATGAACACCTTGGTAGTTTGCATGGATACGTGGACACACACGCAGTTTCATTTATGATTGCGGACAGTGCTATGCTTAAAAAACAAACAAAAAGAACAATGGCACTTGTAGCTGTTGTCAGATAAAGCACTTCAATTGACACACATTTAGCTTGTGCTGCCCTGCAATAGACTCTTGCTTCATGAATAAATAATTGGGTACACTGTCAAGATGTGTGCTACAGTCAAAGTAGTAAGAGTCCTCGAGTTAAACATATGTACTGTGTACTAGCACAGATATTACAGGTTGATATTACAGATAGAAAATAGTAGAATTATTAAATCTAAGCCCAAGAATTGTAAAAAAATAAAATTAAATAAATACAAACTGATAAACTTATAAAATAAGCACAATAAAATTAATAAGTCTTTCTGAAACTTTACTAACATAAGCCAAACTGTGGATGAACTATATTCTGGAAACATTATTGGGTAGTATCCAAAGAGACAGAATTAAGACAATGACAAAGTTGTAAAAATTGTGGCTATAAATATGACAGAATTAGGGTTAGTATTAATTTGACTGAGTGTTCTAATGAGGCATAGTTCATGTAATTCATTCCTATGCCTTATTTTTTAGTGTATCTTTAATGAAATACAAATCGGGTGGAATGTGGCAGTACATTCCAAAATCCTTATTTTTACTTGTTTATTGTAAAATGCATTATTGTCTTGTAAATAAATCATAATCAAGAATAATACATACGACAATAACTTAAAAGGTTATAGCTTTGTTTGTTTTATACTAATGGCTGACGCCAGTGTTTACAAAATGTTTTGAGGATAAAGTGATCTAATGCACTCAGATGGAGAGACCCAGTTTCTCTGTGGAGACGGCCATTGAGTGTTTTATTTTTGAGTGCAGCTGTTCAAATATGATTGTGGTCTACACAGATAACAAAAAAGAGACACCGAGGAAAAACACACAATGCTCGCCGCTGCGATGCACTGCACATAGAGTATACACTTGTACAGTATCTGCAAAGACTCGCACGCACAATAATTTATGCACTGTCTGACACACACTTTCGTCCTGCCTCCTATTCACTGACCCTAACAGTAAATGGGTAAAGACTCAGAAAAAAAAGTCCCCCTTAGGAAATGATTCACCCTTAAAGTGTTAACATGACCTATTACAAGTGTTGTGTTTAAGAACAGGATTAATGCATGTGGGCATTTCTGTGATTCACTGTCTGGATGGGGCTGAACACTTTGCATTTTATGCCCCCTTTTTGCACCTATTACACATTGTCAACCAATGAAAGGGGAATACCACATTTTCAGTCTTAAGACAGGCTGCTGTCATCAGCCATAGGCTAGACTGAGGTTGCCCTGCTTGACCTTACATTATAATGTCTCAGGATTAACATATCTATGCAGAATTTAAAATATGAAAAGATGAAATTATGTGGACCCGAGCATTTTTTGTTTTTTGTTATAGCATTGTTATTATTATGACTGTAACAATGTTTGTTCTACATTATTTATCCTAACTTTTAGGACAGTTTCTTCAGATTTACTGCCTGTGTACTACGACTACAAACCTGTCTACAGTATGCTTCAAATTCATTTTTGAAAACATCCTTTACACGTCACTGTATGGTTTAGAAGTTTCTTACCAGAGCTCTAATGTCATCTGTCTCTCTGTGTGGGTGTGTATGTGCATGTTTGTGGTATTTCTTCCTCAGAACCTCCTCACTGCCTCCTCTAGATTGGCCACTGCCAAGCCAGTTCAGCCAGTATGAACTGAAGATAGAGGTGCAACCCAAAGCCCACCACCGAGCACACTATGAGACCGAGGGCAGCAGAGGAGCCGTCAAAGCAGCATCTGGTGGCCATCCAGTCGTCAAGGTAACATATTTGGGTGTTTCCCCCAAGGGTTTGGGGCATTTCCTAAAGTTCCTGAAGCCAGGTTATAATCCTCCAAAATCTGGCTGTGGAAACTGACCTGAAACTTTAAAGATTACAATTCCTAAACACTGAATTGTTGCTTGACATTTGGAGCATTAAAAAATACTTTTACAAAACATAAGGGAAAGTAAATACAATCACTGATGTCTCTACCATATTGAGGGTTGAACTTTTGTCAGAGATCTGTTAACACTATCCTGGCAATGTTTTAGTTAAATTACACCCTGTACACTGAGCGCTCATCCAGCTCCCACTGTACTAACCACATAGCCAAAATGTCAACTCTTGGAACCTTCGGTGGTGAAATTAAAAGTGAAGGGAGGAGAAATAGGCTGAACCTTTTTTTTTTTTTTAAACTTAGCAACAGCCGTTTGTGTGTGACTGAAATTTGTTTTCTCCTAAAAGTTTGTACAAGGAGGCTTCTATCACACAATTGCCATTAACTGATGATGAAAACTTGCCAGGATATCTTTTGCAGAACCTTGTTGAAAATGCTCTCAGCTGCATTCACAATGATGTCAGCATCCACCATTAATCTACTAATAGTAAAGATACATTATTGGACTATAAATAAGTTATTGTTCAGCCTCGTAGTGCAATAGCTCAAACATCCGCTGGTTAATGGGAATGAGCATTAGATTTAGGGTTTCATTTTACATATTTGCATGTGTGTGGATTGTCACACGGATCCTCCCCCACAGCAACACTGTCAGTCAGCCTGTTGAAGCAGTGAGATTTGTAGGCAGGCAGGAGAGCTGTCACTATAGCCCAGTCAGCTGGTCTGTCATCTGATAGCACCTGTGAGAGACTAGGTGAGCCTCCAAAGAGCTATGGCTGCTTTTTTTTTTCACAGAGACTGAGAGGGAGAGAGAGAGAGAGAGAGAGAGAGAGAGAGAGCGAGAGAGAGCGCAATAGCAGAAGATTTCAGTCTCATTAATTTTTCAAGGCCCCAGTGACAAGCTTTCTTTGTGTGTGTGATTAAGAAAGGACCTTATGCTGGGTCATATTGTTGGGAAACTTAACAATGGCAGAGTTCAGGCTGATAGGCTGGTCAGCTGTCCATTTAGCCCAATAGGATTACCGTGTACAGTCCACAAAATCTCGATATATCTTTAGCACCTGCATCTGCTCTGTTAGCACTGCAGTGGAACCTACATCAGTATCTTTTGTGCTGTGGAACTGAATAAGCTTTTCATCTGAATGTGCAAAACAGCTATGCACATTTTGGATCCATTGTTGGGTTTTGTTGGTCATTTTGTTTGTATCTATTAATAATAATACACTTTATTTATAAAGCACTTTTCAAAACAAATGTTACAAAGTGCTTTTCACTAAAAAATAAATTAAAAACTAAAATACATTGAGGACACAGAATAATTGATAAAAGAAGAATGCACACAAATAAAACAGGTAGCTATAAAACACAATTTTAAAACTTAAATAAAATCAGATAAAAAAAATGTTTTAAGAAGTGAATTAAAAGAGAGCAAAGAATATTACATATATATATATATTATTGGTCCTAACTGGATTTCCACTTGGACTAAATTTGAACTATTAGTCCTGTGTTTGTTAGAATTTCTTGGAACTACAGATGGGAAGTAGATCAGTCCCAAAGTGAGCTCAGTCACCGCTCATTATGCACATTACGCAAGATATAACAATTAAGATAAAATACAACACTTGAACAGCTGTGGACACAAAATTTCCTGAAACAAGGATGTCTAAACTGCTGCCATTTGTTGCTTTAGAAACAGCCTATGTCCTCATACATTCAGTCATGCAGGCTCCCTTCAGGCCAATCATTAACCATTTCTACCTCAGTTAGACCAAGATTCAATCCTGCCATATGTGACAATGCATAATTTAGCTGTCAAATTTTTTTCAACCAAGCATTTGCCATGATTGCCCTCATTTCTCATCCCCAGGGGCAATTGTTTCGTTTATCGCTTTCCTTGCAGTAGCTAGTGACAAGAGTGAATATATCTTGGGTCAGACAAGGTCATTTCAAAGTTGATTCCAAAGCTAGCTTTAAGCTGGTCTGTAGTACCGACATGGTGGTCCTGACAGTGTTTGCAGTCAGTTTTACTGTTCTGTAGAAGCAGCAGACTCAGGTTTGTTGGCCCCAAATGTTTTTTTTTTGTTATATATTAACTGTATGTATTTTTTTTAATGTTATTATGGTTATTAGTTTTTGTTAGGCTAAACATTAACCAAGATTAGAATCTGAAAGCAACTCCAATAAAAGTTAAATAGCAGTTGAGGTCAAGGAGGCAAGAACAGATGATGACCCGCAGAAGAAGTCTGTTCTGTTTACTTGCGGTATTTTTATTTTTCTACTTTTTTTATTTTTAGATTATCAAGGTTTGCAAATCTTTTTTTTTTCTGTTCTTAATAAATGGCTGTGCCATAAATCTCCTGTAAGAAGATTTGATCTGGATCTGTGACGATAGTTGGTCAGTGTTTCTCAACATACAGCTGCTGTTTACACTCAGTCACAGAATGCTGCCACTACTAGTGATGGAAATGAAAATCAAATGCATTTCTGCTGGAATGCACTTTCATGATCAACTTTACAAACATCAATGTGTTGTCACGAACAGTGTGAGCAGACAAAGCAAGAGAAGCACACAGATAGCATGTGCCTGTCGTCAGCCGCAGTTTGAGAGAAAATGTGTGGGTGAATGAGTTACATGAGCAACAATGGAACTATGTGCGATATGAAACTAAAAAAAAATCTTTATACCATTTTGTATTTAGGCATTACACATATCTCTCCACTTATTTCCCTGTAGTCGCAGTTTTTAGGTTCATGTTTTTTTATTCCATAGCATTGATAATGTCCAAATGAGAACTGCTGTCTTGTACTGTGTCAGGTTAGATACATCAGCACTTGTCCAGCAGGTCTAACAGTCACCCTTTGTTTACTAAACATCCATCCCTCTATTGTAAGTCTTCTTTGCTTCTTTTTGATGCCCTGTGCAAAAAAGTTCCTTTTATATGAAAGGTTATTTCTTTATGCTGTGATATCATTATTGTTTGTGCAAAAACAGAATTTCTTTGAAAACCAACACCACACACACACATTGTGCTTTCTTTGAGGTTATCATAGAACACGAACGAACGTCACAACATCAAGTTAATGCTAAAAAAAAAAGCCTGAATATCAACAACAAGAAAGACTGCACCTTCTTAAAGGGAATCTAAAGTCATTCAGCCTCTGTTTTGACCCAGTATACGGTGGACGTAAGGGGGTCAGACCACTTGAAACCGTTAACAAGCTTGCATATATCATATTTCCCAGGTGCACTGTTGGTGTGAAGTAAGCTGTTTGCTGGAGGCAGAATGTCACAGGTGCCTGCATGTGTGATCGCAGCCTCTCTGCCTCACAATATGAATGTGTAGCTTTTCTATTTTTGTCTATATTTAAAATACTGCAGATATAAAAGTTTGTAGTGGGCAGCAGAAACAAAAGGAGCTGTCGGCTTTATGATGGAAGCTTTTGTGTACAAATTATCAACAATACAGATTTGGTTTGATTTCAAGAATATAATTTGACTCCGTAACATTTTGCCTGCTGTTACGAGCATTTCTGTTTTCCTTCTAAATTATTTTCTTCTCCATTCCCTACTCCAAATTCACAGCAAACATTGCTTTCATGATTTAACATTTTTGATCCAAGGGACTGTGATGTTCATGCAGTTGTCCTTCCTATAGTTTGTGCCTCCTCTGTGCTCTGCAGGACCTCTTACTGTCATTGAATCCTGACACTAGTAGTGTGATGTCACCAGATGACGCCATAGCTGCCATCTGGACATGGTGATGACTTCCTTTTGTGACCTCGCTGTTGCCCAAATCAGTGCACCACCGAGCTGCTGTGTCAACAGAAAAAAAAGAGAATGTCTGAGCTGTTGAGCTGGTGTAGTTTACATACTTTAAAGGTCTTAAATTGTTTGCCCTTTTCTATTATTATGTAAGAAAGAAAATAGTAAGTTGCCACATGCCTTCTCTGTTGTGTTTGTCTTGAATATGCAAATGTTTTTCATTACAAAAGATTAACTGCTAGATGCAAGATGCCTCTTACTTCACTGAAAGACCATTCTCAATGTATGCGCAATGCAGACTTCAAGTGTACGTTTCACACTGGTCTAAGTTAAGTGGTGACTGGACCGAGGCTGGCCTTCACACTAGTTTTGATTTCCCAAATCTTGCTTGCGGGTACATGCCTCAAACTCAGATTTCAGGTGAGCTCAGAGAAGCTTTCCACTTTCAGCAAATCAGTTTGAAAACAGTCTGTTGAACTTTGAACATACATCATTCTGTGCAGTGAAGGTCAAACATCCAGTAGCAGCAAAAATCACAAAAACACATTTTTGAGTGAAGGGGGGGAGAGTAGAGTAATAGAAAAGCTATAACATTTTAAACTTGGTAGATAAGTGTAAGGTCTTGAAGAAATAGTGTGAAGCCTCGTAAAGTGCACTCTGTCTGCAAGGAAGAGGGCTGAAAAAAAACTGTTGCTTGTAGATGGTACCCCAAATAAAGATTTAATCTGTTCTGTGCATCTTTATATTTCACGTGTGGTTCCAACTCTTATCCATGTTACTGGAGGGCAGCTCTGTGGCTTGTCACCAGGTTTCCTTCTGCGCTGAATGCGCTCTTTGAAAATGCTGGGGTAGATAATCAGTCCTTTTCCGCAGTTTGCTAATATTCCGAAAGTTCGTTGAGACACCCTTCAAGAAATTAACATTTCTCCCTGCTTGAACTTGTTTCTGCTCCTTGTGTTGCTTCATTGTTTAAGTCTGTCAATCACAGCAACCACTTTGGTTTGTAATATTTTCTTGGATTTTAAATATTTTCTTGGTTATAAATTGAGTGAAGAAATTCGGCCATGTTAAGAAGGTCATATTGAGTTAATCGGTTTTTGGTCCCATAACCTTTAG